CCATCCTCTCGGCAGGTTCTCGTGGAACTTCGTGTAAGTCATATTCTGGAACTTTGAGACACATCACGAACTTAGCCCACACATTGCTGGTACCCTCAGACATAGAGCGAATATTATCTTGTAACAGTTTCCATTCACAGCAAACCCTCGCTATTCCGGATTAATTGTAGGGCTAGAGGTCAACCGGTTAAGCAAGAGGAAGCCACAAATAAATGGAAAATTTAAGTAGTGATGATGAAAATAAATAAGAATATAACTGCAGAGACTTTATTTAAAAACTATAAAAAGACAATACATTTATTCATTGATAGAAAACTCAGAAGTTGTGCTTGTTTTAGCGCGTATTAAGAAATTTGCCTGAACAGACAAGTGACTCATCTGCCTTCCTGAATGTCACGTGTCTTTTGAAACATGTACTCAACCGTGAACAGCATTTTTCATATTTCCCTGCGGACTATCCGACATCCGAATTAACTGTAACCGGATTAGCGAGGATTTTCTCCTCTTATAGAAGTGCAGGGACGTGGGGTCGTGTTGGGAGGATTGGAACCTTCGGGTTTTGCTTCTCTGAAACTCGTTTTGACAAAAAGCAGTCTTAAGTCAGATGTCTTGAAAGTGTGGAGGAATATACGTATATACCCTGGTTGGCATATTTGAGGTCCCAGCTTCGATTCTGCCCCAACAAGAAGTGCCTGTGATTAAAAATGTCTTAATGTTCTTCATTTGTTGCAGGCAAAGTGTCACACTATGAAAGAAATCACATCTGCTTGCTTCCTTCTAAATTTACATATATGGCATGTAATTCATCAAATTTCTCACTGAAGAAAAAATATACTTACTAGCTTTTTACATACATCCACTCCACATATCCCATCATAGCATAGTAATCAATTAGTTAAGCACAGGGACAACTTTACCTTTATTATTATTTGTTGCTCAGGCCTTCTTTAACCTGTTCATTTATTTTTGTATTATTTATTTATATCATGTTCTGTTTGTGCTTTTCCTCATATTTTCTATGTTAAGAAACAATTCAGTTCATTCTGTTGATACAGAGCTTACGTTCATATCGCTCCTTCTACCAGATAACACATGGTATCGTTAGTGGAATGGTATTGGCCTTTAACAAGAGCGTAGAAGGCCCTACGTCTCAGAGACCTGTGGGTAGTCAGGGTTTGAATTGCGTTTAGATACCTCAGGACACAGAAAAGCGATGGAGTTGGTTTGTGTTTAACGCGTCCGGTTGTTACCTTCAGCAGCAAGATGCCAGTGGGGTCCTTCTGCACACGCATGGTGCCCTTGTAGTGAATGCCTGTGTGCTGCTGTTGTCCGAGGCTGGGGAAACCTGCCACAGTTCGCCCCTCCAATGCGAACATGTGCTCCGCTCTGGGCTTCCAAGCTGCAGGGAGGGAAACCATAACTTTGAAATACGTGTCCAGTGTAGATTATATGGTGAAACTGTGTTTATGTGTCGATACCATGCAGAGAATTTGTCTCTTCAGTGATGACTTCTGTTCTGAAAGTACTCTGATTTTAACAGCAAAAGCCGTCAAATAGTTATTGGACATATGTGCTAGGTCGCATGTGTGTCGAGTTATTTTAATGGGTTTAATGTTTGTATTAACTCTCGCAGATGGATTATGGTGCGCTTGGTTTATATACCCTATCATGTGTTTGTGTAGGTGTCGTGAAATAAAGACTACCTCTATCGATTGGGCCCAACTGAGAAGGTTTTACCTGAAGAAGAAGACAGAATCCAGTCTCCGAAACACTGTGCGTTCTAAATAAAAACAGGACTATGGATAATGTCCAGAAACACAGTAATTGTATTAATACACCATCATTACAAAGTTCCAGATCTTATAAGCTGAAAGATTCTGGAACGCGAAAAGAAAACGCACAAGAGGCCGTTAACGTACTTGTTGCTGGAGCGTCTGAACTTCTAACTTCATGAAGACTCCTCTATGTATCAATCAGGAATTTTGTTCCGTTTCAGTGACTCCCAAGCAGAATATTACTTGAGGAGCACGCGAAGCATACAGACAACGGAATTAAGAAGAGACGACCATTAATCATTGTCGGTTGGGTGGAATGACCCTGACACTGCCATTGCCGAAGTGTACACGTAGGACGCATGCGTCAAGTGTGACAGCCACCAACGTGTGTGATGCGTCTGAGGCTGAACGTCCACTTGTTGCGTGTCACAAGTTGGCAGTAGCGTCAGTTGACGTAATAAGCGTCTGGCCCGACAGCAGCGGCATTTGACCGTACTTCCGTATTGGCGTGAGATACGGCCTTGAGATGGTCCGAACAGCGACATGCGCAGATGAGGTCATGTACTGGACTTGCTGTACAGACAACTGCGCGCGTGCCTACTTACGTGACTATGTAATGTCTCTTTGTTTTCTTCACAGTTTTCCGCTTACTTCCGCTTACATTCCTGTCATCACCTATAATTCCTTTGAGAGACAAGAAAAGGTGAAGCTATCCCTGTACCCCGCGACAACCAACTGCGCTACCGCGTGTTCCTTTTGCGAGACAAAAGTTTATGTAAAAGCCTCCATAAAGAGGCTTAAAGATTCGTCTTCTGTTCCTGCTGTTTCAGAGCCGCCATGATCAGCGGTACCGGGCTTATGAGGGTGACACCACAATTCCTGGGTCATGTCCTCGCAACGTGGTCCACTGGTGCTCCTCCTCCTACTGTGACGTCACTGTGGCACAGCTGCGGGGATGCACTGCGGCAGCAATGACGCGTCTCCACATCCGGTGTCAGCATGACGGTGCTTCTCTACATTGCAGTCTTGAGGTACGTCACTGGCCTGCACGCTCACCTGACTTCAGTCTTCTCGATTTGTTTGTCGGATGTTTAAAAGCCAAGGCCTATTCCAGAGCAGTTGATACCAGCGGTGAACTGTGGCGTCCAATTCAACAAGTTGAATGTGAAATATAGAACACACCCGAAACTTTCGAACGGCTGCGGTCCTCTTTATAACACAGAACTGAATTGTGTGTCCGTGAACATGGATGCCATTTGGAAGATCTCGTATATTAAGGCGAGGTAAATTAGTAATTAATTAAGCACTATGACGTATATAAAATGAACTGGTATTAATAGTACTTTTGTTCGTTTCCTTCTTGTAAGTAAATTGTTAAGTTTGGGAAGTATTTAACTTGTCACCATAAAGTAATAAAAGTAAAGCTATCCCTGTAACAGGCCGTGGAGGCCCATAGGTTTGTGAGACGTCGAGGTTCCCACATTCTCTAGACAATCGGCTCATAGATGGTGGCAAGGTTGTTAGCCTTACGTACCGGCCGCGCTTTACCCCAGGGAAGAACTTGATAGTCATTGCTGTTAGAGGCTGAGTCGACCCCAGGGCCATAGTGCGGTTAGAAGGTTTAGGTCAATTGAAAAAAAATTCAATGACCTCATCGGGACTTGAACCCGCGACTTTCCAGCTTGTAGCATAGTGCCTCAACCAACTACGCTACCGTCACCATGGAAATAGAAATTAGAATTGCTGTAGTTTTCTAAGGCCCTCAGAGTACATATTCTTGTGAACTTTTAACTTATTTTTATTTCCAGAAACAACCCTCTAAACGGTGGTATATAATAATAATAAGGCACTATATGTGTGTGTACAAAGGAACTCCGTGGCCTATAGTCCGCAAGCGAACTATACCCACGGATTGACCGCCGCTTGTCGGTGAGGTTAGTGCTAACTTTTGCGGATAGATGGTGTCGCGAGGTCAGCGCAACGGATCCCCACAGGCGTTAATCTCGGTTTTCTAGACCGGAGCCGCTGTTTCCTTGAAATAGCTCCTCAGTTATCATCATGAGACTGAGTGGACCCCGTTCCAGACCCACTGATTCTCAGAAAAATGTGGTGGCGCCGGGAATCGAACCCGGAACCTCTGGATCCGTAGCCAGGACTCTGACCACTAGACCACAGAAGCGGTCCCATGTGTGTGTAGATATTTTTAAATTAAAATGATGAAGACTAAAC